TTGTTGCAGCAACAGACGAGCAGATTCATCCCCATCTATCTTATCTGCCAGGGTTGATAGACCTTCTTGGACGGACTGGCCGCTATGTTCCATCATGGGTCCATGAGTTATACTCTTCACTTTGGATTGACCTGAGGCATAGATTCATACACTTTGCATTCAGAGGCCGTGACTATAGGCTGAAGAGCTCGAGGGTTAGAGAGATTCTCAAGATTCTAGAGTCACCCATTCGTCTTCATGAGGTTTGCTATGGTCAGACAGAGCCTCCCAGACGCCCTCACGACGGGCTTGTGACACCCATAGATCTTGTACGACCATGCTTCATAGAGCCATTTGGTGAGGGGTCGAGTAGGACACCATGAGACCTTACTTCTACAGCTCGGCTTTTTGATGCTATCATGAGGAAGACTCTGCTCACGAGGATGGGTTATCGCGAGGGATTGACTCGCATTCAGTTATGGTTGGTGAACTCTCTAGTGCAGCAGACAGTATTTGATATTTGGGATGTCATTCTTTTAGAGATGGAGGACAATCTTGCAGAGGGGTTCGAAGGTCATAGACAAGCTGCCCCACGCTCACTGGATTACCTTCTTGATTAGAAAGACAGTTACATAGAAGTCCCTAGAGACGATGGCTGAGTACATAGGTGCTACTATAGAGTTCCCTCCTTATAACATGACTCATATGCTCCACCACAGTAGTGCGAGGACACCTCACCAGCCGAGTCATCGCCCAAATGTCCCAGAGACAGCAACCCAGCAGGATGAGATCATCAGGGGCATTGCAGCGACAGAGGAGGAGTAGCTAGATGCTCAGCGGGAGGGTGTGGTCGAGAGCAACCCTAGTGATAGCTCTGATAATGATTATCAGGCTATTCCTTAGATGCCTCCTCGACCACATTACAGAGAGGCCAGTGGCTCCAGCTTAGCTCCACAGCCACAGCAGACAGACCCCACTCTTCTAACAATTCTTGAGCGGATGAAGCAGGATCAGGCACGCCAGGCCCATGAGACCGCAGCTACATTAGCATAGGTTTAGACTAGATAGGACGAGTTCTAGAGACAACAGCAGGCCATACAGCAGTAGCAGGCCATGCAGCAGTAGCTCCTGATCCAGCAGCAATTACTTGGTTTTATGCAGTATGTCGTCACTGCTATTAGGGTTGCTCCGCCACAGTCTACACCTCAGATCGCCCAGCCTGCCACCACTTCAGTGACTCCAGCTGTATAGCCTGGTGGGCTTCAGAGTCAGGGACAACTAGCTACTCAATTTGCTTCACCTACAGAGCAGGTGTCCCAGTGGTTTGCTTCGCCAGTGACAGCCCATGGTCCTCACTTCACACCTATTGTTACGGGCTTCACTCCGCCTAAGAGTTCCTCAGTGCTTGTGACTGACATCCTAGTTTCTAGGAGCCTCGGTGCCACTTTCAGCGAGCTTACAGGGCAGCCTACACCGCCAGAGCTACGAGTCTCTGCTCCTACCACAGTTGCTCCAGTTACTAAGACTAATGAGACGCTCCCGTCATCTATTGCATCATCAAAGCCACCGACTACCGTGATACCTCCAGAGTCACAGGCCGCGATAGTACCAGAGCAGACCCAGACCGCTTCTACTTCACTTACAGCGACAGAGGGTCAGACCGCTCAGATCTCAGGGTCAGAGGATGCTGCTGCACGGTTCTAGATTTCTCACCGCACCTCAGCGCCCGACTCGTCTGCTCCTGCCCCGTCGTCCGATCCTTAGGTCTAAGTGTCGTTTGGTGTTGAAGAGACACTTAGAGTAGTTTAGGACTTTGTTTTTCCTTTGGTCATACTATTAAGGGGGGTATGGACTAGTAGCTTGACCTAGGTGAGTCTAGTGAGTTAGGTGTGGTGCACACTTGTCAAATCTAGCACTAGGTAGCTCTGGAGTAGCCCTAAGATCAATTGGAGTAAACTTTATTCACATATGATTTCGAGTTGGAAGTGAATAGAGGGTCAAATAACTGACCGGACGCTGGCCTGGTTATGACCGGACGCTGAAGGGTGAGTCCGGTCACTTTATTTGATCAACTGGAGCCGTCTGGTTGCGATCGGACGCTGAGTGAAAAGTGACCGGACGTTGGGTGCCAGAGTCTGGTCAACTCCAGAGAGGTTCTAGAGAGGGAGATTCCTGATCGGACGTGTCCGGTCAGTGCTGACCGAACGCTGATCAGGATCCGATAACTGACCGGACGCTGAATAGTGAAGTGATCGGACTTTGGGTGCCAGCGTCCGGTCAACATCAGTAAGGTTTCAGAGAGTAGTTTTTCATGACCGGACACGTCCGGTCAGTGCTGACCGGACGCAGGTCAGAGTCCGGTCAAAACTTAACGTCTCTTTCTGACATAGTGGCGGGGATATCTGACTGGAGCGTCCGGTCACCCTGACCAGAGCGTCCGGTCACCCCGCAGAGTGATGACTCAACCTCCAAACGTTATGTTTTGAATGAGGGGTATAAATACTTTTTCCACTTGTCAAAGGGAGGTCTCTTGTCCATTTGTTCAGCTGAGAAACACCCTTGAGAGTGCAAAGGAGAGCAAGAGCCTAGTGAGGTGATTGAGATTCGAGAATCCAAGATTAAGGCCTCATTAGTGTAAGGAGAGTAGCAAGTGTGCATCCACCCTTCTCATTAGGCTTGTTGTGGTCAAGTGAGAGTTCGTGCTTGTTACTCTTGGTGATCGTTATCACCTAGACGGCTTGGCGGTGATCGGGAGTTTGGTGATCATCCGGCGGAGCTTGTGGATGACCCAACTCAAGTTATGAGCGGTTGTGGACGATTCACCGCGATGGAGTGTCGAAGAATCAGCCCTTAGAGAGCACTTGATCCTTGAGCGGATCAAGGGGAGCTACACCCTTGCGTGGGTGCTTCAACGAGGACTAGTGGGGAGTGGTGACTCTCCGATACCTCGGCAAAACATCGTCGCGTTCCTTCTCCTCTCTTTACTTTAAGCATTTACATTTGAACAATTCATTTCTTGTCTTTGCATTCTTAGAATTGCTATGCTAGAGTAGGATTGGAACCTAGGGTGTAAAACTTTTGTGCGGTAGAACAATAGAAACATATTCTAGGCACAAGGGGTGAAGTGGGCTAAGTATAGGGTTTAACTATTGCAAAAAAAATTAGAATTAGCCCAATTCACCCCATTTTGGGCATTTTGATCCTTTTAATCATTTGAGAGTGAAAGAGATTACTTTTTAACTTCATTTATAGTAATACTTTGACTTTTTATTTATGTGTTTTCCAACATACGACAATCAAATTACTACTTTCTTTTCTAATTTTTAATGTTGAAGTTAGATATTTTCTAATGATACTTTATTTGGGTATTTTTCCTTCCCAAATCATTTGGCGATCAAACTATTTTTGTTCAAATTTGCCATTTACTAATTGTGTCTTATGGATCAAATTGTTATTTTTTAGTCAGAGTCTACTTTTCTTAATTTTAGTAGATATGTGTTTTTGGTTTAATTTAAGACGTTAAATTACCATAAAATATAATGGCGTAAGTTATTTTCTTTTTCTCATTTAATGAATGTGATAATTTGTAAACCCTCTTGGAGAATATGGTGGCTTTCTTTTGATACTATTGTATTATGATAGAAAATAGATAAATATTTGGTTAAAGATGTTCACATATTCAAAAATAGAATCATGTATATGGGACCCTACGAATCCTATGGGATAATCTCGCCTAGATTACTGGTATTATGAAAATGATGACATATGGAGTGGATCATTTTGGTATTGGATTAGGGATATCAATGAGTACCCAAAATCTGACTACATGATAAGTTTTACGCGAATAAAGAGGTGGGTATGAGAAGATATTTCCATCCACGGGTATGCTAATAGGTATAATAGGTAGAAATCTCATCGGTAGAGTGGGTGTTGGTACGGGAACATACTACCCACACCCGTGTACCTGCCGTAGATATTTTATACCCGTCTTAGTAACATCTATGTCTTTATTAATTTCTGTTAAATATACACATGTCCAATATATTTATGACTATTAGACTACTGATTAGTGACAAGTTGTTGCTATGTTATAATTGTTGTTCTTTGTTCACAAATACTTGACGATATATGATTTTAATAGTATAATATATTCATGTTTTTTTTTTTTGTGGCAGGTATGCATTCAGATACATCCATCGGTTATTTTTACCGGCTAAATTCTTTTAGCCGCATGTGAGTACATGTAGTTTAGTGGATAGAATTTTGTCTGGCGGGTGTGGAATGAGATGACACTACTCGACGAGTATATGTCGTTGCCCTATGTAATTAGGACTTGCTTATAAAAACCCTATCAAAATAGAGCATTTTTTTCTTTGCTGCTTAGTAAAGAAAAGATCAATGTCTGTGAAAGTGTTGATGATTTAGGGTCACTTCGGTTGCTTAGGAATGGACCTAGAAACAATTCCAGCTTCTCAAGATTATATAAATTAGTGAACTGTTCCAACTAGAAATTATTCTAGACCCTCGTTCCTTGGCAACCGAACAAGCCTTTACTGGGATTTTGGCTACAAACGATATACTCTAGCTAGTGTGAGCGGAGCAAAAATATCCGGGCTTAATCGTGGTTAGGCCAGCAAACCCTCGCACCACACCATCATTGTCAAACCACAGAAATAAATTACTCCGCTCATAGACAGAACGAGAAAAATTAGATAAATAAAACAAGGGAATTCAGAGGGAGAGAGAGAGAGTGGAAGCGAGCGAGGAAGCCAGCGAGAAGAAGGTCAAGCCGCGAAGAGAGGAGACGCACGGCACAGATCCCTCTCCCCCTGTTTCTCCCTTTCTCTCTCCTCGACCCTCCCGACGCGGCAAAGCAAAAACACAGGGAGGAGAGGAGAGGAGGGAGAAAGGAAAGAGGAGGAGGCCGAAATCCCCTCCCCCTCCCCCAAATCCTTGCCCAATAATCACTCAATCAGGGGATCCTAGGGCTGATCAGGTCGGAGGATTCGGCGGGCGCAGCCATGAACGAGAAGGCCTCCGTCTCCAAGGAGCTCAACGCCAAGCACAAGAAGGTCCGGTTGTTGATTCCTGCTCCTTGTCCTTCTCCGAGTTTTTCTTAGATCGGGACCGCGCGCTGCTGCTGCCTCAATTGGTAGGAGGAATGAGGGGCAAGCCGTTTCTTGTTGTGAGGTTAATTGTCCTGTCCTGAGTCGGAGATTCGGGATCTGCGGTTGTGCCGGCCCTTGATTTCCCATGCGCCGTTGCGCTGACCTCTGTGATTGCTTTGTGGTTCCGCTAGTGAGTTGATGCGAGGTGGCAGATCCGAGCTCTGCACCGTTCCGTTTTGCTAAGGGCCATGTGGGAACCAAGGAGCCGACGCTTACTGTTGGTGATGTTTGGTGCTTTGCTGAATTCATCCGACCTATACGAGTTACGATTCAGCGGTCTGATTCCCGAATTTTCTAACCAGTATGGTCTCGGACTTTTACAGATTGTATTACCTTTCTCTTGCTGTGTACTACCTCGGTTCCAAATTATAAGTCGCTTTGACTTTTGGTTCGTCCATTTTGCTATGGGGAGACATATTATTATATCTATATACATAGCAAAATGGATGTATCAAAAAAGTCAAAGCAACTTATAATTTGGAAGGGATGGAGTACATAAGAAAAGGAAAATGATTTGTGGCTCACTTTTGTTTAGTTCACAGAACAAGTAAACTCACTAGCTGTCTTTGATGTCAAGCCTAAAATTCGCCATTTTGTCGACACGCTTAGTGGTACCATGCGGTGTTTATGTTGTTTTGCATCATTCACGTATGCATGTTGGCCTTATCTGAGACCTTTATCCTTTTTTTAAACTAATTGTATTTTCTTGTTCCAGATATTGGAAAGTCTTCTTCGGCTGCCTGAGAATAGAGAATGCGCGGACTGCAAGTCGAAGTGAGTGGAACTGTGCCATTTGGTTGTTCCAAACATGGAAAATGGTACATTAGGCATAGCTAGATGTCAAATAGCTGTGTTACAAGTGTCACCAGTTGCCGCTTGAGGACATGGCATTTTGATATTTTATATAGAGGGAGCACTATTTTACGTCTCAAAACATCTACCATTTATATAGAGGAGCACTATTTTACGTCTCAAAACATCTACCATTTGTTTAGGCATATATGTTACATGTACAGACCTTTGCTTTCAGGAGAAGGGCCTAAAATGAAATTTTTATGTCAGCTCAAAGGAGTTTAATGGCGTTGGTGGTTTGTAGTTTTGGTTTTATCCTAGGCCCCTAGTGAATGTAGGAAAGCCTCCTTGACTGCTTTCCATTCCATGACTATGGGTAGATACTTCTTCTTACAACTCTTGTTCATGCTGACATTCCTATCTGTGACCATATTGCAGGGGTCCTCGATGGGCAAGTGTGAATCTAGGGATCTTTATATGTATGACATGTTCTGGAATTCATAGAAGCCTGGGGGTGCACATATCTAAGGTCAGTGACTGGCCCTGGCTGAGCTTCACCGTTTTTTCGAACTCAGCATCACCGCCACTAGAGACATTTTATTATGCATAGATGTCCTCACTGAATTGATTTGAAGCTGCAACGCTGATTTCTGACATAGGGTGATCTGCATTTGTGGACAATTTGCTAGCTGTTGACCTGTTGTTTACAGCGTCAAATGTTTACACTTTAATTGTGTACTATGTCGCCTACATTAACTCGCTGACATCACAGCAATCATGAATCACTACAGCACTATCCGATCGTGGAGTATCAGCTTAAATGCTTAACTATACTTATCATGCAAGAACCTTAGCATCTAGTTGTGCTTATGTTTTTTTTTTGGTTACATTGCTTCTATCATTATCTTATTGCATTCGAGTTTGTTTAATTTTGTGGATAACAAATTGCTTGTGAAAGCCAGATAGAAGACAACAATCCTTTTGATGCCTTAACAAAACATGTTTTTGCTTTCTTTCATTTTGTATTGGCTATTATACATACCGTGTTACCAAATAATCCACCACGTTTACTATTTTACTAAAGCATTTTCTTACACAGGTAAGATCTGCCACCCTGGATACATGGCTGCCAGAGCAAGTTGCATTTATTCAATGTATGAATTACTATCTGGTGTGAAACTTGAAGGACATTTTTAGTTGTATAAAACCACGATGGCATTTCTCATGATGATTGTATTCATCTTCTTGCAGCAATGGGAAATGAAAAAGCAAATAGCTATTGGGAAGCAGAGCTGCCTCCTAACTATGATAGGGTTGGGATAGAGAATTTCATCCGTGCAAAGTATGTTTCTTTCCAGATCTTTCAGTACCTTGAATATATCATTCTTTATTCTTATCCTCCTGCTCTTCAAACACTAATGTCAACACGTGACATATATTATGTCTGAAATGTAGATACGAGGACAAGAGATGGGTACCGAGGAATGGAACATCACGACCTTCCTCCGGTGTTCGAGATGAGAAGAGCCAAGAGTCTCCGGCTAGTGCTAATAGGAGTGGACATGGTCATAGATCTTCATTTGAGCAAAACCGTGGTTCACCAGCTCTTCCGAGCAAAGTTGCACCTGTAGCTTCAAGGATACCCTCTCAGGTAATCCTTCACTACCAAAACTTTCCTAAACAACAATCAATCTGTCAATGTGAAACTGGCAGATGTGTCTTTAGACATAGTTCTTTTGAAATTTTAGCTCTTGTTCTTTTAAGTCAGACTGAGTAATCCACATTGTATAATTCTTAGTTTTCAATCACTTTAACACATCAATGTAACCCCTTCTAATCTGGCATGATTGCATGGGAAGCAGGCATCACCTCAGCCCCCAAAGGTAGAACCACCAGTTCCTAAGGTGGTTTCACCTCAGCCACAGAAATCTCCTGCCAAAGTTGAGGCAACACCCCCTAAAGTTGAGAAGCCATCTGTTGTGCCACCTCCTAAAGTTGATTATGCTACTGATCTCTTTAACATGTTATCAATGGATGGAACAACAGAGAAAGAGTCAGAGTCATCTTCAAACGATGATAATGCTTGGGATGGCTTCCAGTGTGAGTTCTTGTGACTATTCGACTGATGAGTTATTCTATTTACATGGGAACTTTATTGTGCCTTCCTCACTTTCTTGGATCTTAGTACAATATTTATGGATTTCCATGTCACTTTTTTTACTGTTGCTCATGGAATATTCAAAATTGTTCAGCTGCACAACCAGTACCTAGCTCAGAGAAAAAAGATTCTGCCAAACCAGCAGAAAGCAAGACCCAGTCAACATCTGGAATAGAAGACTTATTTAAAGACTCACCAGCTGTGTCAATATCCTCAGCTCCAGCTGTTTCCCAAGTAAATGCGAAGAATGATATCATGAGTTTGTTTGAGAAGGTGAGCACCAACAGTCCTTTTAAAACATTGTTCTTGAAAAATGGCTCTACCTAAAAGAAAGGACACATCTATGGTCTATCTAAGAAATAGTTATGTTTTGCAGTCCAATATGGTATCTCCATTTGCTGCCCATCAGCAGCAGCTGGCGTTTATGTCTCAGCAGCAAGCTCTTCTAATGGCTGCTCTTAAAGCTGGAAATGCACCACAAATGATTCCAGGGAATGCCAATCAGCTAAATGCTAATGGTTCTAATCCCCCTCTTGGAACCTTGCCTTTCCAAAACTGGACAAATCTTGGTTATCAAAATCCTGGGTTGACTCCAGCAGCAGCACAGAATGGTGCCACCAAGGTAAAGAGACTTAAAGATGTCATATGTAATTTTTTTGGCACAATAATATCAGGATAATATTTTACCACGTGTTATATCTCTCTTTGTTTTTCTATTGGACAGGTTGCGAACAACAATCAGGACTTTTCTTCTGGTACCTTTGGTTTTGGCACTCCTGGGTAAGCTATACTGTCTGCTAGTTGCAGATTGCGGTCGTTGGAATTTCATGCTGCACCAAATTGGATTTGTAAACAAAATTTAGATATGTATTGAACTCAGTAATTGATCATATGTCCATTTTGTTGATTGCAGGGTGTACAACACTGGTTTAGCTGTCCCAGCAAATGGGGCCACGGCAGCAGGTGCTAGCAACAACGGCACTGCATCAACTGCATCTTCTACTCTCCCCGCACAATCTGGCAAAGATTACGATTTTTCCTCGTTAACTCAAGGATTTTTCACCAAACGATGAGTGCCTAGTGAGCTTGGAAACCAAACAGACCACCGGGTCATGTTGGACGAGGCATATATTCATTTAGGGAGCACAAGGGGCTTGCACATGCTTATTTTGAGGCAGCTTTTCTTCTGGTGGATATATATTATATAGTTATTACATGACCTTGTAGCTGTCGGATAATAAGAGTGAAAATTTGCCGCAAAATAGCTCATGTTGTTTCTACAAGTGAAGGATTCCTTGCCGGTTATGTCAACGGCTTTTACTCGAGGACTACACCTTGTCAGTTATACAAGTCTAATGCAGCCTTTTCATTATCATGGTCGTGACTTAGCTGCGATGCCGATACTGATTACCGATTATTTTTTATTGTACTGTACAACGACGATTGGATTTTTATTTATTTCCACATTTGTATATTGTTGAGAGACTGAGGCGACCTCTTCATGGCATTGAACCGATCGTACTCTTCCAACATTTCATATATACTTGTCACCATTGAAACAATTTTTATCAGGCATCTCTCGGAAAACTTCAGAGTTCATTTTTTTAATTTTTTGTTAACAAGTTTTGAACTGATTTGTTGAAACGATTCAACAAGTACCCCATAGAAATGGTTCTATGGGGTATTCGACTGTTTCAAAAGATTCTAGTGGATTTGGAACAAATTACATTGGAATTTTATAAACAATTCTATTCTAAAAAAAGTTAGGAGCTGAATTTATACTGATTTGTCGTGAGAAAAAACACTGTACATAGCTTGATAAGTTCAAACAAACAAGCTCGTAGGCTGATAAGCCTACATATCTAAGTATACAGATTGCCTCACATCCTCATTCTTATTTCCCGAATTCATGTGCCACTCTCACGTACAAGCTATTATATTATCGTAATGAGTTTCAAAAACCTGTACATTACAGAGCTGGGATGACAAGGCTACCGAACCAGCATGCACAGTACAGCACGGGTTAAAAACAGCTCAGATGGGCTCGCTTGGTTAAAGCACAGCAGCATCACCTTGTTAACTGGCAACACACACGTAGTCCCTCAAATTACCAGGAACATCCTATGCACAATAACCAGGCTGGAAAACCAGGTGATGTGATGTGACCTCATGAAAGATCCTTTCCCAGCAAGTATATACAATTAGTGCTGGCGAAGGAGGGAAAATGACTTCTTTCTTTGGGTGAAATATCAGGCCTGCAATGTTCAGTAGTTTCGCAGGGAGGTAAGCTTTTGTTGTGTAAAAGTAATAATCTCTGAGATTACTTCCTAAGGACAACTAAACGGATCTCCAGCAATTGTAAAGTCTACCTGCCAACCTGTGAAATAGGCGTGCCATTGTTATTTGCAGCTCTGCAGTTAATGTGAAGTCACCAACAGATTAGTAGAACATCCATTATGTCATTCTGCCTGCCTAAAAAGACTTGGTCAGCAAATGAATTAAACAAAATATCTTCTGGCAGAAGGTCAAGTAAAAGAGTAGCGAGTAAATGATGCAGCCATACAAGCATGGTTTCATTGTGAAATATTAAAATGACACATCATGTTGTGCATAGCGAGACAGAAATACTTTGTCCTGTACTGCAGTACCATCCTAACAGTAGTAGGTACCAGTCAGCGGTAATCCAATGTGCCAGCACCCAATGTGAACGGAAATGTTAGAGAGCCTGCAATGCACATAATGCCCTTATTGGGTGGCAACAAGAAGTATTTAAATGGAAAGAAAACCAATACTTCAGCACATACCATCAGTGCAGCCATTAGGAAAATTAGTATGACTGTGAATGCCTTCAGCAACAATATTGTCAACTGAATTTTGAGTTCTGTCACAATTAGGACCAATAAGATCAGCTATGTCAGGGGGCCTGGTTTGAATAACTTGCTCTATTTGATCCATCAGTATGTTTGACTGGTTTTCCATATATGCAAATGATTCAGCAGCAGTTGCAGCTCTAGCCGCTGCTATACTGAACATACGACACAAAAAATTATAACGTTTTATGTGAGCAGAAACAGGATCACTATCAAATGAGAAAGCACAACCACCATTTGAGGATCCTGATTTGGCATCCTTCCTCCACCTTTTCACGATGTACTGAATAGGAAGGTCCTTGATATTCCTCGTGTCAAGTACCTTCAGCATATGGCGACATGGGATGCCAATAAATTCAAACGTCTTACAAGTACAATTCATCATGGAATTGAGTGAATCAAATTTAACAAAGTGATCTCTTGGTTTGTCCTCGACACTTATTCTGTACTCGAAAATTGTGCCCATCTCACCACAGATGTAGAGCATGCAATCCATGTATAATTCAAATTCTCTCTCAAACATTTTAAAGGCAGAAGGTGTATATACATTGGCAGCTTGCCTTAACATTCGCATAGAAGGTGGCTTCTTTGTACTCTGATTAGCATTCACATCAGCCTCCATCTCTGCAGATCGACGATCACATAACAGTCTTTCAAACTGCTCAAAGAAGTTCAAAAGGTCACATTCCAAGGATAGATGTTTCTTCAGCTCACTTGTCAAACTTTCCTTTTGCTGGACACTTTTCATATCAGCATAAAATGCATCACGGCCATATGCCAGTGCCCATTTCTCCTTTATTGAGAACAAATCTTCTAGCCATTGATTATCTTCTAGGTCATACTTTTCCAACATTTCCTTCCATGCTGTCACAAACTCATCCTCATCCTCACAATCAAATAGGCATCTCTTGAAGTTGCATTCTAGAGTTTTCGAACCATGGAAAGCTTGACTCAGCTGCTGCAGAGCATTTTGGTAAATTTGCCACACACAATAACGATGGGCCGTAGCAGGCAACGTGGCTGCAACAGCTTCACTTAAGGCAACAGATCTATCAGTTAACAATGTCTTGGGATGTGTTCCATTCATTGCCATCTTGAAAGTATCTAATAACCATTTGAAAGCTTCTTTACTTTCATCATACATAATTGCAGCACCAAAGATAACTGTCTGCTTATGATGATTCACACCTGTAAACAAAGCAAATGGCCTATCATAGCCTTGCAATGCATATCCTGAATCAAAACATACTACATCACCAAAATGGAAAAAGTCCACAATAGATTTTGAATCTGCCCAGAAAAAATTCGTGAAGTTCTCATCCTCATCAGATTTTACAGCATAGAAGAATGAAGGGTTATCATGCTGCACCTTTTGCAGGTACTCTAGTGTAGCACCAACATCACCTGAGTGTGGAGTCTTTGTACACTTGTATCTTTTGCAACTTCTACCTTCTAGGGAATTTAGAGTGCCACTTCCATTAATCAGATTTTGCTTGTGAACAGAATCATCGGGTGATCTATGTGCCTGATCAACTCCATCATCTTGATCATTTTCTGTACTCCCAGATGCCATGACAAGATCAGAAGCTGCTGCAGCCCCAAGCTGGTGATTGTGGCAGGTAACAAATTCTGTGACTTGATATTTGCCATTAGTTCCAAGCCTGATGACCATACATGCCGGACAGCCAGTCCGCGTTTCTGGTCGAGGGTTCTTTACTCTTTTCGCTCCTCTTTTCTTCTCACGGAACCCTTCTTTTGAACAAACAAACATTCTTCTGGTTATAACATTCTCAGTATTCACCGTCATGCTAGCCCTACGCACACTGAACCCAATTTTCCCCGCATACATGCTGTAAAATTCATATGCCTCATCTTCATTCTCAAATTCTGGTGTACTCACAGTATCATCTGCCAGATTTTCTCTCACAGCCCGTGCTTTGCGCCTGATTTTCTTTGCTTTCAGCATATGAACTGTAGATGCCGTTGCCAGCTGATGGTTGTGATTCGGCACAAACTCTGTCAAACGGTACTTTCCATTAGCAGTGAGTCTAATGGTCAAGCTTGCTGGGCATCCAATTCGTGTTTCAGGGCGTGGACACTTTGCTTCCTTTGCTCCCTTCTTCTTCTCCCGGAAACCCTCTCTCGAGCACACAAAAGTTCTCCTAGTGATTATATTCTTTGACGTTGTCCAGAGCGTTGACCTTCGGACAAAGAAGCCCACCTTTTCCGCATATGCATTGTAGAACTCATACGCATCACTTTCACCATCGAACAACATATTCACCTTGGGCAACATCTTCTCATCACAGCTATCGATCGCAGGATTAACATCTGCTGCAGCCACATCTGCCATAGCATCCTGCCCATCAAGAAACAGCATAAGGACAGTCTGCAACAAGGCATTGTTCCTCACTAACAGAAAGGAGTTGAAATCGGCGATGTCAGAGAGCGAACCACATTTTGCTGCGGAAGCAGCAGCGGGACTGGCACATGAGGAGGCCAAGGTGCACAAGGTCGCAGGAGTACTACATGGCCGGGCCAAGACTGCTGCGCCAACCTCGGGTCTATGGCAGGACTTCCTGTGGCATTAACATGCGTGAGAGCCAGAGGAGGCCCCGTCGCAGGCCTCGGAGTAACTTGTGGATCCTTCTCCCCAGGTGCTGACGGCATCGGGGGTGTCTTGAACTCCCAATCTTTTGGGAGTAATTTGATCGCCCTCAACACGGAACCCAAGTCCTCCGGGGCCAATTGAGAGTCCGAGACCGAACCTAGAGCACGCGAAGCACCCGCTGTCACTGAACCCAGAAAACAAAACGGACGCTCGATTGGATTAGTACCACGCCACTGATGGAGGAGTGGAAAATCGGATGTGATTGCTCATCGGGGAACAAGCAAGTTAGGGTTCCTTACCAACGAAAAAAAAAATGAATTTTGAATCTCCAGTCAACACGAACCTAATACCAGTAGCGGAATAGTGGGGCGATTTACAACTACGACTGGAAGAGCTCACTCGGGGAGGCTGGTGTCAGCGGCGGCGGCGTCGGGCGACGGCGAAGAAGACGACGGCGATGATGGTGTCATACTCTGATGAATTGGACCAGCCCCCGTCGATGAACTAGATTGACGGAAAAAACAAGAGAAGGCTAGAAAAAAAAGTCGATGGGCTGCGCCGGCATGACGGAGTTGCATTTACATAGACCAGCCGCGTCTGCGCACGGGAAGTGGACCCGGCCACTTTCGGCCCATTTTGCCAGACCGGTTGGAAAAAGTGTCTTTGATTTTATTTTTTGAATTTTTAAATTAAACATGTTACTCCCTTCATTCTACATTATAAAACTTTTGAGTTTTTAGATACATAGATTTTACTATGCACTTGATATACACTATATGTAGCATAGTAAAAGCAATATATGTCTTACAATTTGGAACGAAGGAAGTACCTCCAACTATTAAAATTGTTTAAATTACCTCTTTACCTCGGTTTAAAATGGTTCTTAAGGTGGTCTCATCATTTTTATTAAAAAAAATGGTAAACGCCAAATAAGATTTTTAAACCATCAAAATATCTCCAAGCTTCTAAAAGTTCTAAGAAAAATTCTAGAGATGATATATATAATGGGAGTCACTTTGTGTTACCTATTGGGGAAATTAGCGTGTAGTGCTAACAAAGGTAACATTTGCTAAATATGGAGTGGAAATCAGTTTTCGAAAGTTACTTTCAATTTTCTTACTAATACATTTTTTTTGAATTTAGAGCAAATCTACTACTCATCGGACACAGCCAAATCGCTGGTCACCAACCCCTCAAACTCCTGAGGTACATGATCCCAAGTGGTTTTTATGCCACTAGGAAGGCTACACCCAACTGTGGCAAGAGCATGTGCCACTTTATTACAATCAGGCTTACAAACGCTAGTTCTGCAGGAAATAAATTCAGAACTAAGAGACGATGCCCCCAAAAGCTGAAAGCCTGAAGTCTTAACACTTGCGATGTTATTATTTGGCAATGACCTGACATTGAGCGCCAAGCTACCTAGCTAGCTAGTAGCTTATACTTATCCTGTCATCCTTGACTTCTTGTTAGACAGTCTCCATATATCCTAAGATTATCTCTATGCCGACTTCAATCCTTCTCGCCGATGCTGACATGACGGTTGCTTCGTCCTGTGCATACTCTGCGGAGCACTTGAACAATGACAATTTTTTGCGCACAGGAAGATCGAGAAGGTCCTGGCTATACACTTTCTCCTACTATACATGACTATACGGTCGGTGCAAACCAACAAGTCTACAACCGACACGATCACACGATTACCTTCCAGTGCCGGTGCGGCATATGTACATGACCCTTCGTGTCTGTAGGGGACCTTCAGGCCCTGCGTGCACCTCTACTCTCTGCCGAGTGCCGACTGACTTGACATATATCGATCTCGCAAGCAACTGAGCAAGTGACCAGCAACCGAATGAGTCGTCGTCGTTGCAACGCGCAAAGCTTTATTTGCTGCGTTAGTTGGTCGTTGGACGTGTGCCTACAGTCGCCGTCGACCAGTGCATGGCCGGCGCCTTGAGCAAGTGTCGAGCAGGGTTTGGCTCGCCGGCGATGTGACCTGCATGCAAGTTTTCCCAAGGATAAGGTTAAGAATGAGCCATGCATGCAAGATTTGGACAAATTAAAAATGCCCGTGCTTTTACACACTTGATGTGCTCATGCAAATTAAAAGCGCTCACAACTAATTAGCCTCGCAGGTTTATTTCCAGCAAACGCGTCACTCAGATTCATCAGCATGCATGTATATGTGAACCGCGTGTGTACAACATTTTCGTTAGAACAGTACAAGCCTGAAGCCTCACACAATCACTTTCTCTACACGAATATTCCTAGAGAGATGAAGTTCACAACTTATAGAGGAAACTAATATAATTTTGGAAGCAAAAAAAAAAAAAAACTAGCAACTTCCTCCTTTCACTACATTTTTATAGCACTTTGAGACATTGTTAGATCTTTAACCATATTCTGATTCTGATTTTGTCAAAGGCACCATGTTAGTTGTCCTTGTATTGTTATATATCCTTGTTTATCCGGTCTACGTCCCAGTCTATCTGTGTCGACTTCAATCCTTTTCCTAACGATCGAGACGCGCTAACATGGCAGTTACTTTCTGTACATACTCTCTGTAGAGGAGTACTACAGGACACTCCATGCGTTTCCGTGAACAATGACAGTTCTTGTGCACAGGAGATCCAGAGGGCACTGGCCCGACCACTGTACCATACATGCATTTGTACAGTAGTCGGTACAAACCTACTACACTAGTATTACCTCCGTCCTGACAAGAATGCAAAAGTTACGTGCAAAGGTGGTTCACGTTTGACCAAGTTTTTAATGGATAATATTTACAATTATGTCTTTAAATTAATTTATTATGAAAATATATTTCATAATTAATTTGATGGTACTTATTTAGTTTCATTAACCTGGATACTTTTTATTTATAATCGATCGAACTTAAGGTACAAAACGTGAGCTAGAATTTTTTTTTTTAGGGTGGCAGTACAACCGACACGGCCACTGCCAGTCGTCTGATCGTTCGTGTCTCTTGGGGGTTGGGGCACCATTCGCTGCTGCAGGGATCAGGATCAGATACTGCAGGTGTACTCTGCCGATTGACCTGACCTCTGACAAGCTAGATAGCTAGTGACCGGCGACTTGACGAGTCGTTGCAACGCGCAAAGCCTTGCGCCCTCGCGTTAGTTGGTCGTTGGATGTGTCCAGGCGCCTCCGGTCGCGGTCAACCGGTGCATGGCCGGCGGCATGCGCAAGTGTCGAGCAGGGTTTAGCTGGCCGGCGACGTGGTGGTTAGCCGGGAAGTTAGGGGGCATTTCTAGCAACTAGCAAGTGTCCATGTCGGTAAGATTAAGAATCCATGTGAGATTCGGATAAGCCTGCTGTGTGCGCTACGTACGCTTGTTTTGCTGATGCAAGTTAAGTGCTCTCAGGTGAAATTTAATTAGTTAAGGTCATAATAATAAGGTTCGATCATTTCCATGGTCAACGGGTCATGTACGGCGTTGTGAATAGATAGGTATGGACCTGGCTAATAAAGCCACACTACCTTATCGTTTTGGAGGCATATGGAGCTATATATGGCGTCAGCTTTGCATGAAAGTCGTCGTCCCTGACTCCATGGCGCCATTGTTGTGTTCATACTAGTATTCTTACCAATTATACGTGATTCCTACGTAGTCTAGACCATCTCTCTAGATTTGTGAGCAGCACGTATACGAGTTCATTGTTATGATATGATATTGGATTTGCTAGGCGCCGCTGGCCAGGCAGGCGTGATGGAGGGATCTCTGTCCACCGCTGCAATCCTTTTCAGCGACGTGCACCCTCTTTAATCCCGAGACGTGAGCATTAACGGTCCTGACGTGACAGCTTGTTCTCTAGGGCCTGTTCGCTGGTGGGTGCTGATGCTGGTTTGAGCTGGCTAATGCTGGTTTTTTAAAGAAAACACTGTTGGCTGATTGATTTGGGCTGGCTAAAATCAACAAGCGAACAGGCTCAATATACACGTACTATGCACCGGCGAGTAGCACTACAGCAGTCCAAGATTCCCAGTACATGAACAATGAGTCAATGACACGGTATTTGCGCACGTACTGGAGCGCGTATAGCACCGGCCATACACGTTGGGCTACTACTACAGTCTACATTCACGTATATAGAATATAGTCGGCACAAACCTACAACAATGTGCATGTCTCATCGTGACATCGTGTGTAGGGGATACGACAAAAAGGAAGTTGATGAAGCAGTGTTCCTTATTCAAACAGAGACAGAGAGAGGGGTGCATGCAGCTGGGAGCTGGTGCTGGCAGTGCGTGCAGGCCGCCGGTGCACTCTCTCGTGACAGGTCGTGTAGAAATTTCCTCTGAAACGCGCAAGACCCGGGTTGGTTAGTTAGTGGCTTTGCTGTATTCGGATCGGCCCGACGTCGTCGACCAGGTGGCCGGCTCCGGAGTGCCCGGACGCGCAAGATCCCGGCTCTCGGCCGCTTGCGCATGTGTCGAGCGGGTTTTGGCTCGCCGGAGACAAAGACTCATCGTCGAGTACATGGCCCCGGGTAGGCGGGTACCCTCACCGAGACCCTGTCAAGGCGTGGGTCGAGCCGATTAGCCGAGGATGGGAATGGACCTGGATACTTCACCGACTTGGCAGACAAAGAATAGATATATGCATAGATAGAAACCGGCTTATCCAGGACTCCATGTAATTCTATTAGGCTTACCCGGCATGGGTTGGAGAATTTAGGTCCGTAATCTTCACTAACCCACCCCATGGTATAAATCCCAATTATGCCAAGTCTCCAAAATCCTAGAGTCCCGTGGACTCAACTTCTTCTTTGAAACTCAAACATTTTTTGTGCTCTTCATGGTTGATATGATCTCTCCTTGGACACTCAAATTGGCTTGATCCACTTCTTTCTTGTCTTGCTTGTCGACCTTGTGAGCCATGATCTTGTCATTCTTCTTCTTTTGAATAGGCAGGGTATGACGTTCTTCTTGTCATCCTCGTTAGTTGGGTGTTGGTGAGTGGACTTGTCTTCTCCTCAACCCTCTTTCTTCTTTTCTCTCCCTTCTTCCACCTTGCACTTAAAAAACTTGTGACCT